TTCAGCAGCTTACTCATCTTGTTACATTTAGTAAGTTTACTCCCAAAATTATTTCTTCCAATGCAAAAATCAGAAGCCCAAAGAAGGGAAGTACATGATAAACTGGTCTGAGACCATGAGAAGCACAGATGAAAATGGACTGAAATAATTACTTCCCCCCGAGGTCAGAAGAATCCATTTTCCTTACATAAAAATCTATTCCAGTCCTCAACACAAACTAAGAATAGGCAATTGGATGTAAACACTATCAAGTATTGGATGTAAACACTTGACAGAGTGTTTAAGCCAGAAATAAGAGATAAGATTTTGCTTGCTATTCATCATTCCAAAATTACTGCATGTGGTCACAGTGATCTCTTGTGCTCACACTAACACATAACATCAGTATCAGATGTGTTTTTTCCCAGAAAAGAAACTGAAAGGAAGGGAAAATACCCTGTACAGTTCTTTCTAACAGTCATACACTAGAACTGTTTCCAGAGGGGGGAAGGTTTCAAGTGAAGATAGACAAAAAGTATCAGGATGAGGAAGAAACAGATGCAGATGAGATTATATTTTCATTTGTAGATTCATTTTCTATGGCATGGCTATAGTCGAGAATGATTAGCCTACAGCAAAACTCTAATCCATAATTTGGAGCAATTCACTGAGACCTTGCATAGAGACCATTTTTCTCATATAAGGCAAGCAATGCTTTTGCAATAACAAAGCAGGTAAACCAGACTGAACAGCAGACAATTTCTTTCAAATCACAAGCCAGGCGCCATTTCTGGACGTCACCAAAACATCTGTGGGATAAGCTTAACATATGTTCATATAAGAGTGTGTGTGTGTACATGCAAGATACAGCCCTTCTAGTCCACCCATAAGCATGCAAGAAAATGCAGGGGTTGACTTATGTGACTCTTGTCTGGTCAAGAATCGGGATGTTAAATACAAGGTGGATTTTAGAATTTACAGCATGGTAGTTGAAATTGGCCAGATCTTTCTCCATCGTTGCATTATTTTGTCTGGCAGCATTTCTTCAACGCCATTTTCTTTATTCTGGATGAAATTACGTTTCCTGTGAAATCTACCTTTCAAATACTACTAACTGCCTTCCTGAAGAACTTCTACCCTTGCTGAGGCTAACATATATTAAACAGGCATAAGGTTTTAACACAATTTGTCCCCAACACACTTGTCTCCAAATTATTTTGAGATAAAATACTTGGGAATGTGCAAATTTTAAGGTGGAAAGAGAGAGAAGAGGAGGAGCTGTGCTTTTGCACATTTCATATCAGTCTATGACCAGAGATAACTAGTTTCTTACACCATGCTGTTCCCATGGCCTGTCAAAACACATCTGATCAAACACATCTTTGCAGAAAAGCACTTGCCACACTCAGTAACATAGCACGGAAGTGGAAAAATAGAAGCATGATTTTTTTTTCCATGAACAGCATCTGCGCTAAATATTGTCCTAATTTACAAATTGACAAGTTTCTTTGTGGAACACATTGCCAAAGTAATTTACCGATATGTTAAAATTGATACCAGATTCAGTGACATGCTATCTATTGTTTCTGTACTTTCCACACCCTTACTCCTCCACTAGGATATTTTTCCAT